GATTGAACAGTCTTCTCCAGATTTCAAAGCCATTCTCCGTGTCTTCATTCCTAACAAGCGCTATCGCAGCTCCATCAGTGATCTGCGCCAACATGTAACCCAGTTGTCGCGCAAACAGTGACAGTTGGTTGTTCTGCGTTTGTGTTTGTTGCACATCGAAGGCCTCACACAGTTGATCAGTTATCACTTTAGTCGAAGCCAGTTCAACCTCATCCATCAGCTGTTTGGCCAGGGGTTTGTACAGTCCTACATACCTCTTCAGCTGCCACGACCAATCGTCCCATTTATCCAGCTCACCGTGGTAAGTCGGCGGAGGAAACAGTTTGATTTCACCACCAATTCCTCTCACTCCGAAGTCCATTCTTTCTCACTCTTCCCTGGTTCCAGAGCCGAAGCTCCGCTACCATGCAAAATTACAGTCACCAATTCTATCAGTGAGAGCAACCTACAGCAAGATCAATCACTTTCCCCAGTCACACACACTCGAGCATTCCTTTGTGGAACCAAGCAGTCGTCCAGTCTTGAGCCAATGCCATTCGGCATTGCTGCATTCACAAATGCATCGTGAACATTCATGGCACATTTGGGTAGTGTCATTTAACAGAGAGAGCGAGAGAGCGAGAGAGCGAGAGAGCGAGAGAGCGAGAGAGCGAGAGAGCGAGAGAGCGAGAGAGCGAGAGCGAGAGCGAAAAATTCCGGTCGACACTTCAAGCAGTTGTAACCAACCGAGATCGATCCGTCTTCCGCGTTTCACACCATCAATCACGCATTCCTTTATGCGACCAAGCCAGTCATGTCCAGGCTTGAAGCAAATCCCCTGCGGCATTGTAGCATTCAACAGTGCATCATGATCATTCGGGAACATCCTAAAAGGTCATTTAACACAGTCCTTTGGTTCTGACTTCAGTCGAGAAGCATTCAAACATTTATCCCATAGACAAATAAACGGCAGCACTCGCGAAGCGATCAAAGAGCATTCATAACAATGTAAATCAAAGGCTGCAAAAACGCATTGGCCTCGTTATGGACATTTTGGCTCGACTCGGAAACGCATTCGAGTCTTGGCTGTTATCCGTCGGAGGCATTGCAAGCTTGCAAGCGGTCGGCTCGGAGAACATCTTTTCCAAGATGAGCTGGTTTGTCCCCAAATCACCCAGACGTCTGGTCACGGCACTCAACTCCTTCCCATATGCTTTCCAGTTTTGGATGCCCGTCATTGTTGACTCGAGACAATTGAACAGTACGCACGAGGCCCGGCAACGGGTATGCTATCGGCAGCACCACGGGACGTGGCTGCAGTGGCAAACGGACTCCCATCCCCACCTCCGTCTCTTGCGACAATCGCACGAAAAATGCGAGGTCGCCACCATCATTGAAAGCATGTTGTCGGGACCAACCGTCGATGCCTTGGTCACTCAACCAAGCAGGAATGTGGTACTCGTTAGGGAGCAGATGTGTGCCCCTTACTTAATGCGACTGCAGGCAGGCTTCTCCTTTCCGCTTGGATGCCTGCAAAAGCTTCCTGTCGAAGAACCCGGGATTGCTTCAGGACCTCCTCAACGGTGCAAAAGAAGTCATGTCGGGCGCGGGGAAGCATCGCTGGACACAAAACGATGAATCACGCAGTTTTCTGGCACCGGTCCATGAAATGTCCGCCTGAAGTGCATGAGGCGTGCTGAGTGTTCTGGATATAGAATGAAAGCTTGGCCATCACGATTTCCTGAAATGCATTTAAAATTTGACGCCTTGAAGTGTCCCTTGCCGGATCCAGAGGCGCATGCCAGGCTCAAGCTTCAAAACCTCGGTATAAGTAGCTGGTGTCCCGAGTACTGCCTGGTTTGAAGCACCTTCTGGAACCCTTACCAAATGAGCTTACTTTAGCCAGAACTTCTGGTCGAACTCACATCTTTGGCCTGGCAACGAAGCCTTGGCTTGTCTTTGAGAAGCAGGAACTGCTGCTGAGTGACCCTGCTGATGGCCTGGACTTGCTTCTGCCGAAACAACGTTGCAGACAAAGGCACCGGCTCTGTAAACTTGAAAGCAGAAGTGATTGTCCACATCGCGTCGTCAAATTCTGTCCCCATGCTGCGGCTAGCTTGGCCTGGGGCGCAACTTGCAGGATGCAGGTTTGCAATAACCCAAGCATCCTGCAACTGCTAGTGGTCTTCGGCACGCAGGAATCGCACAGCATCTAGAACCACTCCTCCGGTAGCTTCGAAGCCGAGACGGTCACCTTTTGGAGGGAAAAGGAAAAAAGGCAGGGGAACCTTGCCGCACCGTCCGTCAGTTTGTGCCGCTGTCGCTGGGACACATTCGGAATCTCGAGCGCTGCTGGGTCAGGGCAACAAAAACGTTACAACAACAATAATTTTTAGCGGGTCCAGGGGGTCGTAGGAGCCGCAGCTTGCCGTCACGTTGCCGTCACTGTTTACAGCAACGTGTGTTCAAAGCCGAAGTGCCTGCGAGGGGCGGCCGCAGTGGCCTACACTCCCACACCAAGCCAATCAACCACCTTGTTACGTGCTCACTTGAACCCGATTTTATTGCCTTTGCACAATGTAAATAACAAACTACCTCGGGAATCAAGGTCCAGAGCATGCGCTGTTGGTATATTGGATTTACGGTGTGTCCTACACCCCCAAATGGCTTTGCCTTCGAGGAGCTACGCTACATAACGGTTTCATAGTCTGAAATGCATGGGGATGCACAGCGGCACAAAGCCTAGCTCGGAATCCGCACTAAATGCTGGTTTCGTCGCTATTGCAACCAAAAACCGTCCAGCAATTCGGTGAGCATGTGATGACATGGGGCGTGCTTTTTTTTGTGGAACGGCGGCCATGGGTGTGTACAAACTACTCAAACCATGCGGAAAACGTGATTTCGTAACATCTTTCAAGCATGCACACCACAAGTGGGAAAATTCCCGCACACAGAGAAAAAACATTCAAAGTCACCGGAAACGCTGACCAGGCAGTGAAATGCAATGACCCCAGTTTGCTCGGCTTCACGCTCTATGATTCAGGGAGACCATATTCTATGCTCAGCATCGGGCTCGGCATTCTCACCAGCAGCAGAACGATCAAGCGGCACAAACAACGTATATCCAGTCCACTTGTGACCAGTGGGACCACACGGGTCCTCACACTTCTTCACTGATCCATCGGGCGTCTTGATGTCAGCCCATTCACGTTGATGGCCAGTATCGACCGTTGCAGGGTCACTCGAATCGAAGAGCACTGCGTACCTACCGCTCCACAAGCATTCACTTAACAATCCATCAACAGGAGAGCTCGCATCATCCGGATGGAAGTAGCAGTTTCATTCATGGTGCATTCTTATCCAATATCGAGGGAGGAGGGAGGATAATCCAACGATGTGCAGTCCTGCAGTCCTGGGTGCTGCAGTCTCAGCATCCTGAAGATTGAACAATCGCAACAACAACTCCTTCATTCATTCACCATGCTGGGGCAGTTGACCGCACAGTCGCAAAACATTCTCAAGCTCATGCCCCCCAACATTTCGGCTCACTCTCACCTCGCGAGCCTCGAGGCTCGACATTCGTTTTGGCTCGGCTCTTTGGAGCAACTTCATTCGTCTGGAGGCTGCCTGCCAATCTGCGGATCGTGAGGACGAGACGCACTCTTTGCCAAGTGCCGCCTTTGCGGCTTGTGCGTCAATCCAAACACCACTCGTCCTCGCCAATCCTTCTCATCATGCGGCCTGGTATTCGCCAGTGTCAGGCAATTCTCATCCCTGACAGTCACAGTTGACCCATCTCGATATTTCTTATGTGTCACTCTTTCGCAAGTCAAGCGTGACACTTGTACCGGGCCGGCGTTTTATTCGATCCGAGATTCAAGCATTTCCTTTCGCCACAGTCGCGCATGGCGAATCAACTTCAATTCTGGCTCATTCACCTCCCAGGTGTCCCATCGAGACCCATCGGCGGACTTCATTCCTTGAGCTGCGGCAATCAAGGCACCAATCTGACAAAGGCGGTCAATCGAACAGTCACGCACATGCGACACAACACGCAATTCCAAGGCACCAAAATCTTGTTCCATAAATCTTGTTCTATTCCCGACAATACCAGTGGCAAACAACTCGCCGCCAGTCTCGCCGCATTTGCCACGGCGTAAGGAATTACAGTCTGCATCAGACACACAAGTGTTCCTTGCCGAACAATCGGCACAGGATTTCCAGTCGGGTCCATCAGCGCACGGTAATCCTTTGTCATTACAATCCAGAAATCTTGCAACAACAGTCGCACGACACTGACCAGTGGAAACGGGACGCCAGCGCACACGTAGAATTGCACGCTCAATGAATGACCATTGCGACAGTCAAGTTGCACAATCTTCCTACCGCCTACACTTCGAGTTCAGCCGAGCCTACTACATGGACAATAGCGGGAACCTCCGCTGCCTAGCGCCACGCAGCACGCAGCCTTCTTGCCATTTCAATTCAGCCTGTGGTCGCAAAATGAAGCCTAAAACGGCCGAACCAGGACAAGGCCAGGACCATCACTCGAGCATCAATGCAGCCGATACAGGGAGTTCACGGGCTGATGCCCATTCGAGCGGTTCGACCACGACCCGCCTATGCTCAGGCAGCCTACAGACCCCTGATCGGCCTCCGACGCCTAGCCTAACAAATCGCCAAGCCAAGCTCTGTCCTTCCAGGACTAGCCTCTGAAACCTCATCAGCAATCCCCCATTCATGGAGACCGGTCGGGATTTTGCGCAGAGGAGAGCTTAGCAATCTCGGGCCCTGCTCAAGCAGCACATTGCTTTCTTCGCCGGCCTAGCTCTCGTCCGGCAAAGTGGGCTCAGCAAGCTGCGCAGGCGTCGTAGGCTGACCAAGACTGCCCCGGCTCCGGAAACGGAGGCACGCCAGGCGTCACACACACGCGGTCCTTCCGGTACATAGTCTAGAAGAAGTCGCACACCTCGGGGGGGTTAGGCGGAGGCGAGCCAAAGCCACAAGGCGGCCCCGGCACACAGGCCGAGGTCCAGAGAAGCTTATGGGTAAGCGGATGTTTAAGGCTTTGGGCGGGGTGGGCTAGGCTGTTTGGGAATAGCTTCAGCTGCTGGGCCGGGGCCTTTATCCCCCGTACGAAACCTTCGTAAACAACCGTTACGGGTAACCACGTGCCACTGGCATTGGACAGGCAAATTAAACGACAGAAGCTCGACTCGAGCGAAGCAAAAAACGCTTATGTTGCTCCGAGAAACCTTCTTCGTCTAGCAGAAAACTCGTCAATCTGTCGTACCTGTCACTCGACATTACATCTACTCGGAACGAAAGACAGCACCCACACGTACAAACAGATCGCACATCTACTGGAACATATAACGGTTAAGCCGTTAAATACGCACGTACGCATGTGTACATATACGTAGTGTGGGTGTATGCATGTATGTATATATTTAGCTTTGGAGCTTTTTGCATGAAATCTGCTAGAGCCCACGAACCAGGATGCGGCTGGTGCGTTTATCCTCTCCACACTTGTACGCCCCGATGCATTCACAGGTCTTCTGTGCATAAAATCTGTTCTCCACACACAAATGCGAAAATGACAGTTTTTTGTTCTATGTGCACAGCATAGTTTCCTAAAGACACTTTTCGTGCTGTAAATACAAAAAATGATTCTAAGAACATTTTTTGGAAGCACAGGGCTAGCGTCACACTCGTTTTCGTGCCTTCGAAAATTTGCACCTAGGCACAGTTTTGCGAGAGGACACGCCTGCAGGATCTTGCATGTTCCAGGACTAGTCATCGGACCAATAACTCCAGCCGTCATCAGACCAAGACCAGTCACCAGACCAATCATCAAGCGAACCGATCCACTCCTGACTCCAGTCATGGTCATCCCAAGACGACCAATAATCATAGTACCTTCACCATCCTGACTCCATTCACCTTGCTTGTTTTCCTGCTGTCCTTCCTCTTCAGTCACCGCTGGCATTCTACCTTTTCTTTTTTTAGGGCATTCTTTGCTCCAGTGATTTGGATCACCACATAGAAGGCATCCTTGTCTTGTCCTCTTCCTTTCATTCCTTTTCCTTTGCCATTGCCTTTGTAGCCTTTGCTCTTTCCTTCTCCTTTGCCCTTGTACATTCCTTTACCTTTGTAGCCTTTTCCTTTTCCTTTGTACAATCCTTTGCCTTTCATTCCTGATTTGTTTCAATCCTTGCTTTCCTTTCAATGCTCCCATGTCCATATCGGCTTGGCCTTGGTGGTCAGTCCTACCACTCGGCAAAGTCAGGTGTCTGCTCTTGATATAATTACACACAATCTCCAGGGCCTCCGTGAACGTAGTGGTACTTCGAACATTCAGCCGGAAATGCTGCTGCCACGGACCAGTCGTCTTCTGCATTGGCAACGTGATCAAGAGCTCATTGTCCAGTGGTCTGCCAGTCGTCTTCTCATGTCTGTTTTCATGAACTCACTCACGTCACTCTCGAGATGGTCACTCCTGAGCCTAAATAAAGCCAATGATCTCATTCAAGAAATTGGTGACTCGAGCTCTCAGGCAGTGAAAACTGCTTGTACAATCGACGCTGAAGCTAGAAACCACTCTCTGTGTCCGCATTGCAAACAATAGCTCTTGCTGCACCATCAGTGATTTGTGCCAGCATGCACGCCATCTGTTTGGAGAACAGTGACAGTTGATTATTCTGGGTTCTCGGCTGTTGCACATCAAGTGCTTCACACAGGCATCATCAACCACTCTGTTGGATCCCTCGACATCATCCATTAATTGTTTTGCCAGCGGCCTGTACCCGACGTACCACTTTAGCTGCCATGACCAGTTCTCCCATTTCTCCAACTCACCGTGGCAGGCGGGAGGAGGGAACAATTTGATCTCTCCGCCGATCCCTCGTCCCAAAGTCCATTCTCTTTCACTTTTTCCCTGTCTCCAGAGCCGAAGCTCCGCTACCATGCAACATTCCACTATACAGTCCTAGCAATCTAGAGCAACCAAGATCAATCACTTTCCCCAGTAACACGCACTCAAGCAGACATCCCTGTGTGTGACCAAGCCAGTCTCTGTCCAGTCTTGAGCCAATGCCATTCGGCATCGTAGCATTCGATAATGCATCTTGAACCTTTGGTGCATTCTAGGGCCGGTTACATTTAACAGAGCGAGAGGGAGCGGGAAAGGAAGAGAGCGAGGAGCGGCAGAGCGAGAGGGCGAGTGCGAGAGCCAGAACCAGCGCGAGAGCGAGAGCCAGAGCGACAGCGAGAGCCAGAGCGAGAGCGCGAGAGGAGGGTGAGGAGTAGGGAGCCTGAGCGGGAGCAGGAGAGGGAGAGAGAGAGAGGAAAGAGCAAGCAGGAAGGCAGGCAGCTGGATGGATACACAGAGACCCGGACAGCGAGACAGTCTGTTGTCATGTTTGTCAAACAGGTACAGGCACTGGCAGTGCGGCATAGAACGACAGACCGAGTCTGGACGAAGCCAAGCGAAAACCAGCCGCAAGTCTGCTTCACAGGATGGCAGAGTCTCTATCGAGAGCCTTAGTGAACCAGATTTCATGTAAACCCGAATCTGTGATCTATCCCAAGTTCAGCGCCATAGACAAGACCGGCAGGAAGCTGCGGATCAGACCTGCATAGCGGAAACTCTATTTGCGAAGAGAAATAGATACAAATACAGAGACAGACATAGAACCGTACAAGTGTGTGACACGTCCAGCAGCCGTATCACAGCAGGAAGTGGGTCAAGAATTGGGGGCGCATTCAGCAGCCATGTCGACAGCTGGGGACGGCCTATTAGCACCCAGAGCCACCAATGCCAAGAAAGCGTCTCATACTTGGGACCTGCCATGTTGGGCACAGGGGCTGCGCTGCCCGCTCTGCCGGGCCGCCCCGGCCTACCCCGCCAAGTGGGGCCACCAATGCAACCATGGCATCGTTCAGCGCTATGATCTGAAAAGGTATGCAAGCCACGTGGGGCCCAACATGGATGCACCGCGTGGCCTCGTCCAGAGCCTCCGATCCATAGTTTGCCAAATCCAAGCCCAATCGGATCAGCGTGCTTGACTTGGCGGGACAAGCACAGCAGGCTCGCAACCCAAGGAGACTTTCAAGTCACTATGCTCACGTACAGCCTTATTATTGCCTTGCGAGTTTCCATGTGAATGCGCTTCGCCCACAGCACAACATCCACCTGCACGGCCGTATCACACCAGCACCTAGAATCTCGCCACTTCAAGACCTCACGACAACTGGACCATGTACCAGAAACGTCAGAGAGAGAAAGAGGGGGACGGAGAGAGAGAGAGAGAGAGAGAGAGATTGAAGACGTACTGAAAACGGCTGCCGAGATGTTCTGGCATCCGGAGCCTTGCCAACAGAAAGCTCCTCTGTGTGTGCCTCGATGACCTCTGCACCGCCCATGTCACGAGCTCTGCCTGCTCTTCGCCCCTCTGCCTTCTGCACCTGATCCTTGATAGTCTGCACTTCATCCTGGCAGTTCCAGACTGGCAGCACGATGTTCAAATCCGAGCCGAGCTCGAGAGCCTGCGTGTAGTGCTTGTGCACGTAGCGAAGGACACGAGAATGGTCAGCCTGGCAAACTCAAAAACTGCAGCATGAGTTCGTGGTACTGACAAGGAGACATCCCAGAGTCGAGGCAGCCGAGGCACTTTGGACATCGTGTTCAGCGCCACGAGCCGTTCATCCGGAAATGGATTTGAACTGAAGCAGGAGTGGTCATTCATCACCTGCAACAGCAAAGCAGCAAAGCCAGAAAATACTCATAGTGAGTAAGACTTGAGTCGCAGGTTCGACTGTCGCTGGTCCATTGTTTGCTGCTTTCGATCCGGCATAATTTCCTCTCAGCGGAAAATGAATTGGATTCCCGTTGAAGTCTAGCTGCACCTGGAAACGCCTTGAATGGGACAGTATTCTGACAATTCTCTGGTGTCGCGACAGTTTTCCTGCTTTCAGTCATTACTCTCTTTGTCACCACGCTGGGCGTCGATCACATGTGTCTTAGTTTCGCTTTTTCGAAAACAGGACTCTGTGACAGTCTGAGGCCTCATTTCCGGGCGGGCGTGCGGGCGTGCGGGTGTGCGGGCGTGCGAGTGTGCGGGCGGGCGGGCGGGCGTGCGGGCGTGCGGGTGTATGTGGATGCTTCTTCGGTTGAGGGATAGGTATGAGCGATCTTCTCCTCTTTCTTGATTCCATTTGCTCCCGCTGTTCCTGAGTCTCTACACCCAGCCTCCTAATTGTTTTTTTGGACAGCTCCATTGGATGCTTCGGCTTGCCTGGCCTTGCACCGCCCAGTTGCAGAGCTTTTCAACCCAACCTGTGTTCTATGTGTTCTGAAGGTTGACTTGAACCCTTGGCCTTTCGTTGACCGTACAAGGCTTCCTCTGCTTACTCTTGAAGGATTAGCCGCTGAATCCGTGCAGCGTGCGACCTGCGTGCTCAGAGGGTGCTACTTCGACAGCATCACGAACAGCTCATGAGCATGATGCAGCGAGTCTGTGCGAGTGCCCTGCCCAAGCTTCCGCCTTCCAGTATGCGCGCAGTACGCTTATGGCAGAGGCTTGGGGACTGCGGTGGTGTGGTAGGTGTCGGCTTTTACGGTCCCTACGAGTGCAGGAAGAAGTTCGGGGGAGTACCCCCCCGGGGACAACCAGCACCTAAAAGGCACAACCGCACGGCTTCACCTCTACCATGGGCGCTGCAGACTTTTTGTTGCGTCCACCCCTTCCCCATTCTTCCCCCCTATAGGCCCCTCCCCCTTCGGACTCCAAGCGCATTTGCTTGCTTTGTGCTTCACGCATCGCATTCATCACAGGTCCGAGCACGCGCCTCTTTGCAGGTTGCATAGGAGAAGGCGACGAAGCAGCCCGGCTCATCGGAGACCTGGAGACACTTTCGAGCTCGATTCGGGGCTAACGGGCGCTTCTGGTCGGCCTCCAGGAAGCGCTCCCTGGAAAAGGATTGGTGTAGGAAAGCATTGAAGTCCAGGTGCTGCCGTCGGACCTGTCATGAGTCACTAGGGATAGAGATGGCCTAGTGACGACACGTGTATGTATGATTATGTATGTATGTGCGCATGCGTGCATGCGTCTGCAAAAACAAAGCGTAGTGTGAGACCGAAAGGTAGATACGGAGGACAGACAGACAGACAGACAGACAGACAGACAGACAGACAGACAGACAGACAGACAGACAGACAGACAGACAGACAGACAGGCGGTTTTGCCTGCGACACCTGCATTATCTGCATATAGCTACAGCGAGCACAAGTACGCAGGTGTGTGGTCAGGCTCCCAATAATGACGCACCCTGCAAAAAAAATAGTTTGCTACGGCCTGAAATGCTCGCAGATGCTCAGCAAACATGAATGCCTCCAGTGGAAACCAGCAAGCATCCTTCCCTCTGTGCATATGCCGATGCCGACCTGTTAACATCCGCCGGGGGATTCGACACCATGGTAAGAAGGAAATTCACCGGAAGCTCGGTCACAGAGTTACAGATGTACTCGCAAAGCCGCAGGCCTCCCTCGAGTAAGACAAGCGAATTACAGACAGTTGATACAGCCACCAAAAACACACATATCGAAATGCGGTGATGCACATTTCTTCTGCTACTTTCTGTTGATAAGTACATCGGGTCAAACAAACGTGGTATTGCTTCACCACTTGTCGCTGTAGCTCAATGTTGCAGGTAGCTTAGACCCGCGCAGGGGCTCACGTATTCTGGATGACAGGGGTGGGGCGCTGGCAGGATCCGACAATGACACCCGCGGTGCTGCGGATCAACTGGAGTTGAAAAGGATGGTCAATGCCGCTGCTCAGATCATCTCGTCTGGAAAATATCGGAACACACGTTTGACGAACAAGGAAGATCAGTTCAAATAAACACTAAAATTCAGGCAAAAAAACTAACCCAGAAAGAAACCAAAGGAGTGCATGATTCCGACAGAATCCAACCCTAAAACGAGTGAATGCTTCCCGAAGACCCACAACCCTAGCAAGCGTCAGTGGTTGCGAAAACCGTCCTCCAACAAAAAAAGACACTAAACCCCCAAAACAACCTGTCGGGTAGAATGGGCGGCAGGCCCGATACCCGAAAAGCAATGAATGCTGAAGAACCCCAAACTCCGGCAAGGGGGTGACTCACTTTCCAAACCCCAAACCTAAGAAACCTGAATCCTGGAACGAATCATTGGTTCTGAAAAACCCCAAAACCCCGAAGCAGTGAGCGATTGCAAAACGCCCAACCTTCAAAAGACTGAAATGCTCACAACAACCGAAAGCTAAGCCAAGTCGGGGATCTCCTTATATCGTACAGATGTTGCCTGGCACCAAACGGCCGAAAAGAGAAGCAGGAGCTAGACAGCACACTTTCCTTTAAGCATGCTGCATTGCACATATATACTTCCAACAAGAATGACTGGTTACCGAACACCCATAGCCTCTAAAGCACTGAGCGCTCAGGAGTGACAGTCCTGAAGGGAGTGACCGGTTATCACAGAACCCAAAACCTGCATCCTGAACGGAGTGAGTTGCTTTCCAACAGCCCATTCCATGCGCTGATTTCTCATAGCAGCTGATTCTGAGCCAATTCGCTCCTTCGCCCGGTCCGGCTCGCGAAGCCTATTCCGTCTCTGTTCCGAAGCCTGCAAAAGCTACCTGCACCTACCCTTATCTTGTTTAGCATTCATCGAAAGACACATGTTCCGAGTCGGACGCTGCACACTTGAATGCAGCGCCAGCAAGGTCGTCGTAATGCCGACATCTGTTTAGAGAATCTGGGAACCTGTCACCTGGAAGATGCGCAGATCCAGAGACCCGGCTAGCCTCTTTGGGAAACCCTCTCCGAGTCTAATTGCTCAAGGCTCGGAACCTCCAAAAAAATCTGAGAAGACAAAGGCAACCGTGCTGTACGAGAAGGGGCAACTGCCGGTCGCCTTCGTTCTGTGTTGGAGACAGCGAGATTTTCGTGTTTTGCAGGCCCGGCCAATTGAACCCCATGCTTGGCAGAGCACCGCCATGACCACCGGGCAGTTTGGGCAAACAAACCTTGCGTGTGTCGTGAAAACGCGACCCCACACGCTCTGTGTCGATTACGTGTTACTAACCTAAACTTCCACATCCTTGGCATGCCACGCCAGCTCCATTGTCTGACATGAGAAAAAACCCTCTACGAAGTTGTGTGTCCGACCTAAGTGATGTATCATGATTCTTGTCAAGCTAACGTCTCCATAGTCCCAACGAAAATAGATGTGAGCCATGTGATCTTTCAGATATGAATGCAGGTCCACTGCCGTGTGAATAGTGTGCTGTTGTCAAGAGCATCCTGTCTCCCTAGTTTCGGTATTTCTGTCTGTCTTCTTCCGATTTTTTCCCTTCTCAAGGCATACAGGAGGCTCACAAGCACAAACTGTGAGCATTGCTGGCCCCGAGCTAAGCACATTCACTAATGAAAACGAGAAAACTTTTGGCAACGTCGCGAACGCGGACGATGAGGCTGCAAAAGCTGCAAAGCAGTTTCTACGGGTTGAAGACTTGCGCAGGTCCAGGGTTGAACAGGACACCAAACGTCTTGGCGGTCGTCTTTGCCCCCCCTTTCATAGTAAATCGTGACGGAACTCGTGGAATATGGTCTCTCACACGACTGAATCCCCTTGGGCGGCAAGCTCCTTTTCAATTGGGAGCTAGGATGCGGGCATGCTCGTTCGTCTTACTGAAGTATCTTTCTCTTCCTTCCTCTCCTTCTCTTACTTCCACCTTCCCAACCGAAGTGCGACGCGGCCTCTGGATCCACCAGGTCTTGATGATGCAAGTAGTTGCGATCCCTACAGCCGCAAGATGTTCAAACATCGAAGGGCAAAGCAGGAAAGCTTGACTCTGCGACCAAGACCTGTATGGGCACACGGGCTTCGCAGGCTTTTTCCGACAGGAATCCTGGCAGCGCAGCTTATCAATGTGATCCAGTTGCTTCTTGAAGCGACAATGAGCGACAACTCATTGCCGGGTAAACCGCCATCAAGCAGATGAAGAGGAGCAGACCCAAAAGCGGCGCCACAACAGCATGATACTGTTGCCACAACAACCTCGAATCGTTCGGTGTGACTCAGTATAATTCAGCGGGATTCAGAACTCATCAAACAAGCCCACACTTCTCATCTTAGGTGGGCACATCAGGTCCAAGTGCTCCATAGCTGCCACCAACAATTTCTCTGCAGGTGCGCAACTAGTTATCCACCACACTAAAACTGCGTAGCTGTAAGTTGTTGTTGTTGTTGTCGTTGTAGAGCGATGCTTACAAATTCCAGCACGCTCGCAAATGCCTGAACGTGGCCAAAGACAAGGCACTGCTTTGCCGAATCTATCTTCTTGACAGATCTTCGTGTAAGCGCTTGATCAGGCATGTCAAAGCCATCGACAGGGCGCTCTCTTCATTTCTTGTGAGATCGGACACTGTACTAGCTGTCTCGGTTCTGCTCACCCGGGCCTCAATTAGGCCCTGCCCTCGGCAGTGTTCAACTTTAAACAATTTGGTGTATTACCTCTTATTGGCAGCGTTGTGCCTTTGAAGTGCAAGAGTTCAACTGAACTCCATTGCAGCCACAGGTGAATGCTGCGGCGTGTGGAAGCACGACACATAAGCAAGCGAGAGCAATGAGTGCTTCGATAAACGACTATGGCTCTTGAGGCAAGCACCTTGGCAGACAATCGGTCGCAAAAGCTTTCTTTCCCGTTTTTGGAAGTGTTAGGCCTCAGGACCTTACGGATCGATCTCCGGCGCCTTTCCCGTCGTCAGTGACTTGGCATAGATGAAAACTGTGGCGCCTCTGCTTCAGCGCTGGTGCAGAAGCTTCATGTCGTGTTGGTGCATGATTGTGCTTCTTCCGAGCGTCGCACCCATCCCCCAAGATAATCCGGCACAAACTCCGGCATCCAAAATGGCTCGGTACGGGTAAGGCAGCTTCTTGACCTGGATCGATGCAGAGCTTCGCAGAGCACTCGGTTCATGCAGCAAGTGATTGCATCCCTGGGTCCCCACGATGGCCACAATGACCATGATCCCAGCTATGAGGGCCCATGACACCACCTGCAACATTGTCATTTCGTGTGCTCACCAATGCTCAACCACAGCAGCTGCACAAAGACTGCACATTGTGTGTTACCAGCATATGTCTATTCACCGCCAACTTAATCTTGGGTTTCATCTGCCAGTCCTCTTCATCTTTGCACCCATCATATCTCATCATCTCCGTCCTTGTTCGCAGTCATATCTTGATCTTCATATTTCATGCATTTCCTGTATGTTCGACTTCATCTTCATCGTCATCATCATCATCATCACCGCTGTGTGCTTACCACAACCACGATGGTCACCATCGCCAGCCTCACCAACATCAACATCCACATCGTGCCTGCTGGTCTGAATAAAGCTGTTGCTACGGATTTGCTACTCCTCTTCCTCCGGTTACTAGTTGCGTTGCAATGCATTGCGTCCGCTGCACCGAGTCTGATAGCTGGCGACGGACTACCACTACTACTACTACTACTACTACTACTACTACTACTACTACTACTAGTACTACTACTACTACTACTACTACTACTACTACTACTACTACATCCCCACCCTCTTAACCCTGGGGGGGGCGGAAATTGAAACCTACAATTTCTGCCCGGGGAAACATACGAACCGGATAATTGTAGGATTTCATGTTCGTGCGGGCACGGCATGGCCAGGGGATAATTGCAGGAAACGAGTGTTGCATAGTCGAAAAAGGCGGTTCCCTGTCTCTCTCTCTCTCTCTCTCTCTCAACTGATGCATGCGATACGAAAGTCGTCGGGCAGAGATTCGATGTTTTCACTCCGCTGCAGGTGCCAGAGGGAGCCACGGTGCCGCGATGCGGTCCACCTTCTGCACAAATGCGGCAAGCCTCGTGAGAGCACCGTCCTTCTCGGGGAGCAACGCATGAAGCTCCCAGAAAACTTCTCGCCCATATTGGGCAGGCTGTCGCCCCGACAAGTGGACATCGAAGTATCCTTGTGTCCTCTGGCAAATCTCAGCCCACTGGATATTCTTCTTGTCGGTGTGAAACATCCCAGCCGCATCCAGGATTCTCATGGATTTCGCAGCATACAAGTCGGGCAAACGCTTCATGAAGAGCGGAATTGTCCTAACGGCGGCAGCGGGTGTCAGCTGCCTCATCGTTAGGCCCTCCACTGGTGGAGGAGCGGCCTGCACCTGTCAGGACATCCCATGAGCTATAGATTAGATGTCGTTGGGGTCCCTTGGGCCTTGGGTCGCGCTTCCGCAGGCTTCCGCAGCCAGCTTTTGTCGGCCATGAACGTCTGCCTGGCATCCAGAGCCTGTGCGGTAGGCAGGGAATTGGAATCAAAGCCGAATAATTGTCTCAAGATGTCTCAAGAATTAATAGGGTCAGGCTTTGATTTATGTTTAATTCTTCGCTCGGCACCTCTCGGGAAAACCGGAACACGGTGCTCCTGGAGCTTTCTCGCCATTCGACGGGCTTCCATTCAGCCAGCACGTTGCAAGGATCGAGCAGCATGGTCGGATTGAGAGGTCCAGCATACCATTTGTCCTCATGCGCCTGGACGAGCAAGCAGACTCGCACTGTTTTGACCATGGATGCCGGCAGAGGGCTCCCAGACGGCCTCGATGTCCGGAGACGGCGATTGCCAGAGGCCAGCGAGGCACCACGATAGACAGTGAGGCTGAGGGCCTCTCCAACGGTGTTGTCATCCTGGAGGAAGAGAAGGACTTGAGGGCGCCCATCCGTTTTGCAACCAAAGTGGGTGGCAGCATGCAACACGGAATTATCATCAGTGCACAAACCGTTGTGAATGTTCCGCTGTGTATCAACCCAAGCCTGTGTCCTGGACATTCGCTGCCCACTCTCCAGCTGACTCGCTTGCCGGCCCAAGGCAAGCTCATGCTGCAGCAGATTCCAGGCATTGTCATCGCCGGCACATCCGCCGTTCACGGTGGCAGCAGAAAGGCCACCAACCTCCCGGAGCTGGACTTGTCGGCAGAACTCCTTCAGTGGAGCTCGCATCTCCTCCATCCGCCTCTGCAGCAATGTCAAGGAGTTGTCTCTCGTAGGCGCTTGCTGGAAGCTTGGCAGCTGGTTGATTGTATGCCAGAGGCGCAGCACGTCGAGCTCGGCCACTTCCTCTGGAACAGCCAGCTGCCTTGCCGGCTCGTCAGTGGACTGCTCGGGATGGACGGCCTGCTCGTGTGTCGACTGCTCGGGATGGACGGCCTGCTCGTGTGTCGACTGCTCGGGATGGACGGCCTGCTCCTCGATGGACTGCTCGGGATGGACGGCCTGCTCGTCTGTTGACTGCTCGGGATGGACGGCCTGCTCGTCTGTTGACTGCTCCGGATGCAAGCTTTCGTGGCAACGCAGGATCTCCTGTCTCACCTGGAGGGAAAGAAGATGAGAAAACCTACTGCATCGATATTCTTTTGGGACAATACGGAAGAGGAACGTTTACTAGCCGACCTGCACATGGTCCTCGCAAGCAAGCAGAGCTTGCTCAGCCTCGGCCTCTTCCTCATCCCCAGCTTCAGCCTCAAGAGACTCGTGGAGCTCAGACTCGCAGCGGAGGTCCTCGTCCTCTTCCTCCAGTTGGCTTTCATTCCAACCATCCACTTTCTGATTCACTGTCAAGTATGCTTGACCTTCAGTGTTATACCAATGAGCCAGATCCGACCTGATGTTTGCAGCCGTTCTGCCAGAGCTGATGGACGCCTGAAAAAAACAAGCGTATCGCAGACATTCGTCAGAAAGTTCGGATGCTTCCAGAGGGTCTACAGGTGCGGCCTCTGGCACGTCAGGCCACTGGCACTCTCGCTGGAGCTGTTTCGCTGCCTTGAGGTTCTCTAAGTGGTTCGCGAAAAGGCAGTCCCGCACCGACGGGCTACCTCGCCATGCACTTTTCACCTTGCTGAAATGCGTCTCCGCGAAGCTCTCCTGGCGAGAGGCGAGACGCCATGGTACATCGCGGGCTGAGAACATGGTATGTAGCAAGCAATGGGCCATGAGGTGGCAGCAGTTCCGCAGTGTCGCGCTCGGGACCGCGTGATCCTGCCAGTGGCCTCCGTGCTTTCGCTTGGCCTCGCTCATATGGAGCAAGAGCAAATAATATGCTGTTGCACCGTTGATGAAGCTTTGTCGTGGGTTCAGCTCGCAGTTCCAGGCCGATACCATCAGGCATCCCAGGAATGTATACAGAAGCAAGCCGTCAGAAAGCCACGTGTTGCCCAGAAAGCTTTGGCACATCCTTTGCCCGCTGCTGCGATCACACTGCGGGTCGCGGCACAGAAATGCATGCAGCGGCAGGCCGTGAGCCCGCATGTCCTGGAAGTCCACTGGAAACAAGCCGTGCTGAATGCACCGTCTTCCGGACGTGTGCTGCAATGTCCAATTCTTCAAGCAATGGTGCGAGTCGTTACAGCCTGTGAGGAACCATTTCTGGAACCGCAGGACTCCAAATGGAAAGTGTTTCAAGCCTAGCTCTCCTCGTACTTTGCATTCTCTCCAAAAGTCGAACTTCTCCAGAACCTTGGGTTTCAGTAGTCCTAGGAGTGCGAGGTTGACGGTAGCGTTCGAGCCACCATTGTCGTAGCTCAGACACAAAGGCGGCACTTTGGAACCGGAGGTGACAAAGCTTTGCATGAGTTGTCCAACCAAGGACATAAACAACTCGGCTTTCTTCTGGCCCGGACCCTGGAACATCGGCACCAGACATGCATCAAAGGTGAACCTGTTCGTGTCCACTCGGCTGACCACCATGCTCACTGTCAACTTGCAGAGATCGGCTTCCGGGCGGGGGTCGCCCGGTGCAAGGATAGATCGGTCCCGCTGGGGGCTCCAGCCTCCTCCCACAATGGAGTACACGTTGTCCGCTTGCAGGTGAGCCACCGCTTCGTAGCCGGGTTTCCAGACTGTCTCGTCAAAGGCAACGCAGAGGAGCCTTTGCCCACCAGTGGATCCGAGGAGGCTCCGGAGCATGCTGCATGTGGACCTTTGAACCTCTGGCTTGGTGTGCGTGCAGAAGAACTGCGGAAGCAGTGGATCGTTGAACTTGATGGTGGGGTGTCCACCTTTTGTGTTCACATGAAACATCTGCAAGACATCCAGCGCTTGCTGAGACCGGCCCAGGGTGCTCATCAGCTCAAGCCGTGTGCTCTCGTCTAGGCTGCTGCCCGGACGAGCAAAACACCCTCGTGAGAGCTTCTCCTCAGCATGAACAAAGCACCGGAACAATGCATGCACCGCTTGGTGCTTCTGCAGGTTGCCAGCCGCGACCCAGCTAGCGAGTTTCAGCTGGCTTTCATCGGTAACACCGTCCTCGAGGCAATGAGTCATTTGCTGATGCAGCACCTGGAAGGCATGCTGCTGGGCATCGTCGCCCGGCAGGAGCTGCATGCTCTGCACATGCCGGGCTATGTATTTTCGGATGGAATCAGTCAAGTTAGCGTGGTTGAGGCAAGCCCAGTGACGGTAGACATGGTCGTGCAGCGCCTCAACACCAAGCTTGTCGAACAGCTCGGCACACCGAGTCACATCCTTTTTTAGTTTCGCACTCCAGCAGCAGTAGTCTCGCTGCAACATGCTCTCCAGCGTGGGTGCTATCCTCGGCCGGTCTAGCACACAGCGATAGAGAAGATCAGCCATGTCCAGGCGACAGGCCCAGCTCGCAATGGACAAGAGCATGGAGCGATTGCTCTGCAAGCTCTGGCAGTCACGACAGGCATCCTCCTGTACAAGGCCCATGGAGCATCTGGCATGGCGGAGAAGCACCGTGTCGCCATTCACACTTGCACGTAGCACATGCAATGACCCACTACCTGGCGAGCTCTCGCTGGCGAACTGCAAGCACCCGCTCCCTATCCACTGCTTGACGGACTCCACCAGCTTGCAGACCTCGCCGGAGGCCTTGTCGAGGGACATGTTTTGCTCTCAACTTGGGCCGGGGCGACGTTTGGCTGCTCAGCAAGACTCTCGAGGCCACGTCGGTGCTTCCTGGTGGCCTCGTGCTCCTTGACGAATGTCAAGCCCGAC